TAATAAAAGATTGATATATAAGACTTAATAATTATATATATATATATATAATATTAAAAGAACAACCAATAATGATAAGTTAGATTCATATATCAAAGGTAATATTGATTTTTATTAGTTTAATATATAAATGTGATCATTGACTCATTTAGCTAATTTCAATAAACTTTTAAAAAGTTTATCGTCATCGCGCAACGCGCGATGTCAAACACTAGTTATTGAGTAATTATTTATAACAAAATTAGGGCGTTGAATGGTTAAAAGAGACTGATGATACAAAATTATTCAAAGAGTTTTAAAACCATTAAGAGACAGACTTTTTTTTGTTAAACAATATTCACTTTTTAACGATTCAGAGACATACTATTAATGGAACTATTAAGAGGTAAACAAATAACCTCTAACAAATAAGTAATTATGAAACAAGATTCCTATTTATTTTACTGGATAATTTTTTTCCGATAAATGTGATAAAGTTTTTAACTTCTTTATTTTGTACTTATTTTGATTGGTATCCAAATCTTGTAACGTTTGAAAACGTATATGCCAAGATTATTGCACCATTTGCAAAAATATTTCGTAAACACGTTTTCAAATGTTATAATATCAACAAGTTATTAGTCAAAACTAGAAGGGTACTCAGCGCAATACATCGAGATAAATCTTCATTTTAATGTTTAATTTTTATTTTTCTCTATCGATATAATACGATTTTTATGTAATTTCGAGAAAACGATAATGTTTTTATTTTTGAATGAAATATAAATTTGAATATAACATAAAAACTTGAAAAATAAATAAATCTATATTAATATCAAATTAACTATTTAATAATTCTCGTTTTTTTGTAACTTTTTTAATTCAATTTTTTATTATACGTTAATTTAGATTTAATAACAAAATAATTTATTTTTGGTTTAATAACATAATCTATACTATATTATAATGCATTTGACTAAAACTCTTAAAAACTCTTAAAACTCTTAAAAAAAATTAAAACCCGTTCATCCCTATCCGATTTCATCCCATATATGAATTCGTGTAACTAACTGCAGATAAACACAATCAAATACATGATAAACATTTTA